ATCACAGTAAGCACAAAATGTCAAAAATTGAAGTTTGATTGTTTTCCCACATCAAATACCAAGTATTAAATGAATGACAGCCATGTTGAACTAAAAATATGAGTAAAATAGGGTAGGATTTGAGAAATAACAATAAAAGTTTTGAAAAAATCACAACAATGCAACAGCAAGAGACTGAATTCTAGTTTTCAATTGTCAGTCTAATGCATTTAATTTAATTTAAAACAATTAGTTTTTAAAATGGTTTATTTTCCAAAGCAAGACAACCACAATGAATTTATGTCACTCACTATGGCTTTAAACAATATCGAGTAAGCCACGAACCACATAGTAACTCAGGCATGCCGGAATGCATCTCTTCAAACATCCATACGATGCGATACGATACGATGCGATGCGAGACGAGACAGCATCGTCCATCGTTCTGAAAACGAATGATAATTCGTTTATATCCGCTGCAACGTCTCTCATGTCACGCGGCTGATATTAAATGCCTTTTATAATTTTTTCGCAACAATTAATGTCTTTCAATCGTGTTCAAATTTTTGTAAATTCAATTTTCATTTTTTAAAAATTGTTAATATTGAAATTTTCTAAAATATTAAACCAAATTTGAATTTAAAAAAATGTATTCTTTAGAATTAATTGACCTTATTTCAATAGAGTATAAATTTATTTTGACTGAAAAACCAAAAATTATTTTATTATGACCTCGTACAGTTTAATATAATCATCACGGTAGGGCTTCGTCGAAACTTCAAATAAAGGGGTTTAACTGGGGAGAAATGACAGAGTGATTTAAATCATGGTTATTGTCCCAGATAAGAACTTGGGCAATTAAAGTGGCGTTTTGCAAGCATAAACGAGTTTCTTTAAAGAAGGTCAGATTTTTATTGATCGGCTGGGTTTTCAAAGAGTAAAGAAGAGATGCCATCGAAATGTCTGCCGTGTATTAACATTGGCATCAAACTCCTGTCTCAACAAAAACATCGCATCCTCTAGTGTTGTGCAAACAGTCTGCGCTATAAAACGGAAAGGGGGTTTAAAATTTAGCTTTTATTAATATTTAAAGCTTACAAATATTTTGTATACTATCAATATAGATCAAACTTAGGGCCCATAAAAGTAAGAAACATTGTCAACTAATGGAAAAAGTTACGAGCTGAAGAACGAAATTTGAAAAAGTTCAGAATTTCCCAAGTTGTCTCGCTATAAAACACCGGGACATTAAATTTATTAGTGGGACTCGACAGAACTTTGATGCAATTATTCAAATGCGCCATATAAAGCATGTTATGAAAGTCTGATCAGAAAACGTGAATTGCAAAACTGCTCATTTATATTCAGATAGAGTGGAAGCGGTGTCTTAATGTAAACAAATGGAAAAAAGCTATCAATTTAGTTTCCCGTTGCACTAAACAAATGGAATTTTTACCTTCTATTGGGCGTAAAGAATGTTAAAAATATATTTGACATAATTGACCACAAAATTTTCAATTAAGTTCAATATAAAAACTTAAAACTTTGACAAAAGTAGAAAGAGCTGAATCTCAAACCATCTCAAATTAAACAACTGAGTTCTTGAAATTACCCACAAACTAAAGTTTGCGCTGGCAGTCAACCAATATATAATTAATTTATTTGAGTATAGTTTCAATTTGTTCGTTGACATCTGCTATTTTATGATATTTGTTCAACATCATTTTTTAATAAATCAATTATAAAAAAAAGAAATATTGAATATAAAACCATATATTTGAATATGGTTAGCATATAAATTATTTTATATGAAGATGTTGCAGAAACTGATTCTTCCTTCTCTGAAGTTTCGACGATTTCTTGGATACCTAATTAAAATTTTCTAAAAATCTTTTCCATTGTTGATTATACATGTAGATACACAAACCAGAGGACATCGGTACTCACTCGATGTGAATAGATCCAACGCGAACGCAAAGAAATACTCATTCTCAAGCAGGACAACTCTTCCGTGGAACAAACTTCCCTTTCTGATGAGGAAGCTGAAACTGTAAAAAAATTCGAGATCGAATTCGATATATTCATGATTGACGATGATTTTTACTACAATCCTTGTGTTGAAATTTGTTATTAACTATTTTAATTTTTATTTTGTTATTTGTGCACATTTTTATATATTTATTAGATGTGGGCATATGGACTTTTGGTTTGAGCCCACTAATAAAGTTATGTTATGACATGTTATTTTATGTTACAAACGACACTTGAGACCAAACATTAAAACAACTGTTATTACCTACAAAGAAAAAATTCAATTGGAGGTTATCAAATTATTATAAAATATGTTCTTTTTGATCACTTGCTATGCTAGATTAACAAAAATTTTATTTAAAAGCTTTTCCAAATAAAATCCTTAACAAAAGTAGGTGTGACCAGACTCCATAGTGATCAGTCTCTTTTTGAATGCACTTTTTCAAATATAACACGGAAAAATAGTTTGAATATTTGAGGTATTTTATGTTATTCTTTGGAAGGAACAACATTTAACAACGTTTGTCGCTCGTAAGAGACTTGCTGAGCTGAAAAGAAAAGTTCGGCGAGCTTAGTTTAATTATGTTTATTGCTCTCCATAGCTGATGAAGAAGAATGCATCAACCCTTGAAACCGCTACACACACACATATATACAACACACACATACACATACACACAAAAAATCAAATAAACACACAAACACATGCAGACAGACACACGCAGGCATGCACACACACACATACGTACGCAAACACTTACATTCACACATACATATATTATATTTACATACAAGCATGTGTATGCATATATGTGTATACGTGTTTATATGTGCATACCTATACATTTATATCAAATCGAAGTTTCCTCTAAGGAAAGGTACAAGGTTGTCCTCCCCGATATAATAAGAGTTAAATTTTGCAACAAAAATAAGAGTTTTTGTTTGTTTGTGTGTTTGTTTATATGTGTATGTGTGTGTTTGTGTGAGATGTTGTATGTGTTCATGTGTGTATGTGCGTGTGCGTGTGTGTGTGTATGTTTGGTACATTAATTCTGTAGAATACAAGTTTTGTTTTCAACAGAAATTTTTACTTAACTTAAAAAAAATATTATTCTTTATTGAAAAACGTCATCACCCCGTTTCATTATGATTAGTGTTATATATTGCCTTTGTTGTGACAATTAATCATTTGATGTACCAGTTTACATAAGCTTTGAAGCGTTCAGTCAGGCATAAAATGATGCAAACAAACATAGGCAAAAATGCAGACAGAAACATTGACGGGCATTACTGATAGGCAAAGACTTAGTGGCGGGCGATGTTTCGTAAAAATAAACAAGTCCAGTGTATGAGGCCTTCTGTGGGGTCAGATGTTTTGCTTTTTCTTTCCCCGATGTATTCTCCATACTAGGACTCTCTCTATCGAGGTTAATCTGCTACCTATGCAAATGTTCAGTTGCACACAATCATAAATAACCCCACACTATATCTTTTTCGTTGTGCATATGTATGTATGCGTGTGTGTACTGTACATTGTACTCTGTACACATACGTGAATGTGCATATGTATCGCAAACATCAAAACATGTACGTCTGCTTTAAACCTCGCTCTGTTGTGTGTTGTGCTCCAATGTTTGGCACGTTGGGTTGTTTGTTATCTCTATACGTTGACCGAATTCGTGGGGTGTTGCATCTTGTACTAGGCTTTGTTGAAATGTTGAAATGTTTTGCTCTATGCGTTAATTTCAACCACTTTTGTATTGATTTATTTTTACAATTTATCAATTTTTATTATGTCGTAAATATTAAACTTATCTCTTTTCAAGTATTTCACCTGAAGTTAATAATTTGAGCTGATTGTGGTTCTTAGTATGTGAATAATTAGATATGCATTTGTGCAGATTAGAATGCAGTACCTTGTTGGAGGTGTGTATGTGCACATGCAGACATATGTTTGTGTGCTTGAAATTATTAAGATAGCATTTAAGCAATGAAGGCATTATTGATACCCGGCTATACACTCTCCTACCTACGAGCTATCATTCACGTAAAAATAAATTTGCGTGTATACTTTCTTAAAAAAACGTTTCTGCACGCCATTAAAGTTTTGTAGATTGTTCATTCAAATTTTTTATTTTCAATTTTTGTTTAACATAACAATAAAACGCAATGAACGAAATATGTAGGCCAGGTGATAGCGGTGTGGTTGCTATTTCGCGAGATTGCTGAGTAGGTTTTAAAGACTTCTTCGCAAGTTTGAACATTCGTCTTAGTCCCTTCGTGCATTTTTAATGTAAATGTAACGGTCGGTAGGCGTTGTAAAGTTGAAGGAGCGTAAATAAATGTTCTGCTTGCCTGCCTGCTTGCCTCCTACTGCTGTTGCTGAATGGTCTTCCTGATGGGTTTCATCGTATCGTACGAGCATCATTCCAACTTTTCATTCCAACTCCAGTAAACTGCCCTTCATATGTCACGTTGTGGTTATTGTTAGTGTGTTATTTGAAAAAAATTATGTAGGACAATTTCAAATATTTTTAGAAATTTCGTTAGCAACCAAGTGAAATAGAGGAACTTTGAAATTTTTGAGTTCAGGTTTATTTTATAATAATATATTAAAATTATTAATACATTGGATGTGTACTGAATAAATAACTTGATTAAAATTACTTATATATTAACGAACGATTTTATTTAACATCACCGTCATGTTAAACATTTAACAAATTACACGCTTCTGCGTTAGGGAACGGCTCAAGTTGCATTGGCATCAAATTGATCGCCATATATTTCCAATCACATTTTTGCGCTTTAGTAAGTTATGTAATGTAATATATGTATGTAATGTAATGTCATGTCATATCATGTTTTGTCATGTTACGTTATGTTAAGTTTTATGACTTGATAGAAAATGAAGTTTTCATACGTTCCTAATGCAAAAATTGATTGATATTTCTGAGAAATAAGGAAAATTATTCAGCTTGTCATTCATTATGTCCAACTTTTTTCCTAATTTTGGTAATACAGAGGCATATTTTCAAAGTGAATAGTAAGAGTTTTAAATTCTTTCATGAATGAGATTTATATTTAATGATTCTAAATAAACATGAATAAAAAAATTGTTAAAAAATATTGTTCCAAAATGTTTGAACTGTAAAAATATTAAATTTATTATTGTAATTTCTTTATTGGTCTATGGACATTTTTTACTTTTTGGAAATTTAATTTAATTAATTCAGTACAGACTGGGTTAGTTGGTTGATCGGTCGGTTGGTTGATTGGTGGTTGGTTCGTTGATTCGTTATTTTTTGAAAAATGTCTTCAAGTTTTGAGATTGATTAACTTTTAAATTTTTCTTCAGTGGTCGTGTTAATTTTCTGCGTTCTATTATCTCCATCATTTTCCACGTTGTTTAATTGACTTTTCCTGACTTTCCAAACAGTTGTAGCAGCAGTCCCGACCGTTTGGTGGCGAGAGACGGCTCGGACGCAACATCTCCCATCATCAACATCTACTGTGGCATCCTCAACTCGCAGACCATCACATCATCTTCCACTCACCTCTACCTCGAACTCATCACAGACGAACTCAATCATAAACAGGGATTTGCAGCCCTTTACAATTTTGTTCCGCAGATGTCGGTTGACGTCAGAACGGATGATGTTGGACTGAGCAAAAATGTCATCAATCACGGTTCTTTTATGAATGCGAATGCAAATGTGCACATCACTGAATCATTTCGCAAACCGCATGACTCAGATGACAATCATTATCATCATCTCCGCGACAACAACAACAACAGCAGCAGCAGTAGTAACAACAACAACAACTTACTACACGACAACAAACAACAGTCGTACGTAAACAGAAACAACCGACATAGCTTGGAGCTGCAACAGCAACAACAAAACTTGAAACACGATTTTTCTATATCAACTAGCCCAGGTTTAATAATAATGTTCATCACGTTTTGGTGTTTATTTGTGTAAAACATTTTATTATTATCAAGTTTAGTTACAAAATTTTTGCTTTTTTAATTTTTATTTCATTATATACATTTTAAAAACTGAAGTAATTTTTTGAATAATTCAAATTCCTTTTGACGAAAAGTTTTGATGATTATTTAAATTTAATCCTATCTTAGACCACACAATTTTAATGTGAAAACAAAATATACAACATTTTTGTAGCCAAAAAATTAGCGAGTTGGCAGAATCTGAACAACTCTTCCCTAAATTGTCATCACGTACTCCACGCCGCTGCATCAACTTGGCCACAGAAATACTCGCATAATCAAGAGATTTCAATAAATATCTAAAAATTGAAGAAGTAGAAAATTGAAAAAATAAAAAATTCAAATAATATAGTTGTTAAAAAGTTTCAATTGAACATAATAAAAAATGACAATGATAAATGACTGAAACAATTTGGACTTCAGATATTGATTTTAATTGATGTAGTATTTTTAAAATTGGTGATTCTGCTCATTCAAATATTTCACCTCTTGAATATTTTTCACGTTATAAATTGTCAAATATTTTTGTTAATATTTAAGTTTTTTTAATAGGCATGTAAAGTAAGTGAAAATAAATATTTTTAAGTTTAATGTTTAGAAAGATCAGTTGATAGTTCAAATTTAAAGATAGATATTATGATATTCTTTCTTTCTCGAGCCTTGTCATTTCAAGTTTTTTGTAACTATAAAAATAGCAACCTTTTACCTTCTTACGTTCATCCATTAGAGACACGATGTCGTCTGATTATGATATCGTAGACATATAAAATAATGTTTAAAAATAAAAGCTATTTGCGATTATCAAACTTAAACTGATGCATGAAAAACCAGGATTAGAAAGATTTAACTAGGAGCCTTTAAGAATCACTTCTTCCACCCGGCACACATTCATAATTTGGTAATGTGAAAGCTTTAGGGAAAATTAGTTGATTTTCATTAAAAGTTTTGCAGTTTTGTTAATGTATCTAATTAAAACCTAAACAGGGTAATTTTCAAGTGACACCATATTATGATCTGAGAAAAACTTTCAATAAAACGTTCAACAGAAGCCTAAAAATGAGGGAAAACCAATAAAACAAGAGGACATATTGGCTTTGAAAAGTAGTGAATACTTGGTATGGTTTCTATAGAGCATTTGGCTGATCTCCTCTGACTGTCTTCAAGATGGCTGGCTTATGAAACGATGAAAATAATGTACAAAATGCTTACAAGTATCCAAATATATAAATATTCTTGGATATATATATGAGATATATAAGCTAGTATACACAAAAACATATATATGGAAGACGAGAATGTAAGGACGTTTGTTGAGCCAAGAAGACTTAATTTAGCATGATTTATTGAGATGATGTTTGTTGATTGAGTGGATGTTAGAGATATAATGTTGAGTTATTGAAAATTTTGTCTCTATCTACAGCAGTGATGTGATTTCTAGTGTTACTTATTTAATTGAAGTTTTTTCATATTTTTGGATGGCATGCAGTAGAGTTCTGTAAGCAGGAAGCTAGGCGTTGTATAATTTTTATTTTTTTTTATAATATTTATCAATAACATTTAATTTTTTAACGCAAGCAATAATTGAAAGAAAATCTCACTAATAAGTTTATAAAGCGGACGTCATGTGAGAAATGTTAGATGTAGGTGCAGTATCAGTGCTAACCATTAATCGTTGCGGTTTGTGAAAATTTATACATTAAAAAAAACCACTCCTTCATGCAGACGTTACTTAAGATTGAATTCTTAAAACTCCTTTTCTTCATAACAAGCAATTTTTGAAAACACCAGTTGGGACTGCACTCTCTCGCAAGAAAGTTTCGAGTTGCGTTTTGTAATCATCCAGCGTAAAACCGCACGCGATGATAATTTGGTTTCGAGAGAAATTCAGAGAATTCTATTGCGGCTGAATGTGCATTGCAGCTGCGCTAATTGTCACAAGTGATATTAGAAACTAATGCAATTATGCGAGCGTTCTGATTGTTTCAACGACTTCTCACGTTTCCCAGTTTTTCTAATTTATTACAGTAAATTTTTGTCTGTACGTCAAATGTGTGTTTGCGTATGTACGTGTGTATTATAAAAATGTTGTCTAGCTTTTTTTAAGTGGTTTTAATAAAAATAAACTATATTTACAGCAGGTGTGTTGCCATCCAATCCAGGTGACACTCCAGTTCACGACTCACTATCATCGTCTTCGGACCCGAAACATGATTGTAAGTTAGTTCATACAGTTGAGCTGTTTATGTTATTGTGTTAGACTAATCATAAGAATATTTTATTGTGAATTTTTGTGTATTCTGGTTTTAATTTGGTTTTAAGAGTTCTAAAATTTAATTTGTCTCAGTTTAGTATTTGCTAGTTTATAGTTTTATTTAATTATTTTAAACTAATATAAAAATCGAAAACAAAATTTGTTAAAATATTCGATCAGACTGACGGTTCACAATCTGATTTACGAACAAAAAAAAACCTTAGAGTAGCTGAAGAAATAAAAATACTATCAATTCGTAAATAGAGAGCATAAATCATTAGAGCAATCTTTTCGGAAAGCAGCCGATGATCGATCAATTTCACAGAATATTTTCTTTGATTGTGTCCATTATCTTGCGTATGTTTTCATCCATTTGGTCATCTCTCGTAACCTAAATATTCTGATACTTTTGGTTAAAGTCAACTTATTGTTCACTTGTTTTCTGACTAGTGATTTGTGCTTTTACGATGCTGTCTTTCTTTTTAATATTTTCTACATTCCACTGGCTAAATGCAGAATTTATGTGAGGAAGGATTAAATAAGGTTTTTTATTATAATTTTCAGTTTTGTTTTGAAATTTTTTGGCGTCATGAATTTGGTGCAAATTATCTTGTTAAATTTCTTTTGAGAATATCATCTGTCTGTCGACTCCCATGTTTGTAGTTTTAGTGGTTCTGTGAAAATTTCAATGTTATCCAGTGAATTTACGACATATAATGCTGTATTGTTTAAATTAAAACAATGTTCTGAATTTGTTTTACTTTTAAAAATGAAACGGGAAAAATTGTATAAAATTGTGTGCATTTGTTTCTGTTATTTACATATTAAAAACATCTTTGATATGGTTGAACAACCAACGCTTTGAATTTTGTAAATCGTTAAACACATAGCCTCTGTGATTTATGTTTTATTTTTCCTCTGGCAATTTTATTTTTTAGGAAAATAACGATCCCACTGGAAGTGCAAATTATGTTTCCACAGATTGCTACTTCGTTGCCAGGCTCTGCTTTTTATTCTCCCCCCCTCATTCTAATTCCTTTTGTGCCACTTTCCTTTTAATTCTCGCTCCTTCATTTGCTTTTCACGTTCTTGTGATTTCAATGTCTCAAACATCAATGTATTTATTTTCAGTTTTAATTTTTTTTTGAATTTCTTATTCAATTTTTGCTTCAGTTAATCAAAAACTAAAATGTACATAAGATGAAAAATATAATCAACCATCCAAATTTGAAAACATAAACAATAAAGGAATAATTTGCGCAAATAAATTTTGAGTTGAAAGCCGTTCAAAGAACTGATAAATTAAAATGCGTGAAAGTAGATCTGAAGAAGAGCCATTACGACAGGGGCTAGTGCGTCCCTTTAGCATTCAAAGTGCCATCAATTATTCAAGAAGCCTGTACAATTGCAATATCGTCAACCTTGTTATTTAATACCTACCTACCTGTTTGAAGATGTTTGCTCCGACCTCCATACAACAATAAAAATGCTATCAACAGTGCTGAATCGTTATACTAGTTTCGTGAAATTATTAAATATTTTTAGTAGAATTAAAGATATTTTTAGAAATATCTCATAGCATTAATAAGATTAGTAATTTGATGTAATATATCTTCACAATCATCATTCAAAGGTTTTTTTGTCCATTACAAATTAATATGAGGATGTTTCGGCTTCAACTATGGCTCCAATAAGATATAAAAATAATTCTATAAAAATTTATCAACCTCAAAATATTTCATTTGAATTAGCGTTGAATGTGATGGATGAAAATAGTGTATTTGAAATAAGTATAATTGAAGCAATAGCATAATTTCATAAAAATTCAAATCAAATAATGAAAATTTTAACGATGGCTTATTAAATATACGTATACAAAAATTAAAAAATAAAAAATAAACCGCAAAACAACAAAATATTGAAAAAATAAATATATATTATTATATTATTTCAGAACATTTTCAAATCTAGCAAACATCAATTCATACCAATATGAAGAATAAATGTTTATGTTCAAATTTTTTTCTGCCTATGAATTCTTAATTTGTTTCTTTGAACATTTCTATGGGAAAAAGTGTAACATATTCACGCATATAAAAATTCAACGTCAGACATAAAGTTTTTTTGAGCTAGAAATAAAATTTCCATCCATCCGGTCAGATGAGAAAAACAACAAAGCTGAAAAAATACTACAGATTCTCCATTGCTATTTCTAAAAATGTTAGGCGCATATTTTTGCGTTATAATTATTTACAACGTAAACTTTTTATTTAAAATAATTTTTAAATAATTGAATTTTTTGCTTTTACACAAATAATCTTATCAAGATTCCTAACTCACACAAAAATTTAATGAATAATTGATAAAATTATTTGATATTCAGTTAAAGAGCACATACCAAATATTTTATTCATCTTTAAAGTTGGAAACAAATTTTCAACAGACTCATTACATTTTTACTTCTCGACTCAATTTTTGTTAATCCAATTATTTTTATTAGTTGAATATTTTTGTTGCAAAATAACCATCCATTTCATAGTAATAAACAAGCATTAAAGGCTTTTCTCTGTTTCTTTGTTATAATTTTTTATTAATTATTTATAATTATATTTCTATATGTTTTTCAGTGTTTTTGTGTGTGCAAAACTGCATATTTATATGTGTATATGATTAGTAGCCTGCCCACAGTCAGTTGATCGGAACAACATCCATCTAGTTGGCGATGTCTAATGATTTCCTCCACATAGACTAGTATAAAATTTATCTGACAATTCATGCGTGAATAACAAATATTCCAACAACATTTGCTAGCAAACACACATGAAATGGAAAAGAAAGTCTAACTTTTTTTATGCGTCTCTTGCATTTTTTGTTTATCTCAGAATTAATTTTTACGACAATTGGGCAATGAACACCTATCGACAACCTCTCATTTGAAAGTAGGACAGCTCCTTATTTATTGGTACTCTCGAGCGTGTTCGTGCAACTACAATGCCTTCGATGCACTATACAAGACGGAATTTCATGTTATTCCACCAACATAACAACCTTAACATTAACAATACAAAGCCTTTTTTTACAAGCAACAAAATCCCACAGCACAAACACTTCAACAATGTGACCTGCTCATTGCATAGCATATTAAATTCGGAGTTTACATACTACATAATTTATTATCCTTGAGTGAAAACATTAATGCTGTCGAGTCATCAACTTTTTTTTGTGAGGCGATTAAATATAAAAACATTTATCAAAGAAAATTTCACAAATTCCACAATTTAATATTGAAAGAAAAGTAGTGCAATTTATATGAAGCAGGTCGTGCATTATGTTGCAATGTGCCTTAAAATAATGTTTAGAGGCAATTATAAAAAAAAGCTTCCTCCTAATTTCACGTGTTCCTGTGTTTTCCAGCCTGTTTGCATTTTTACGACCCGCCTAGTGCAGGCTGGATAACTCTGCTGGCCATTGGACGCTCATTAATTATTACAAACTGCACGTTCACGTTCGTCGCCATTATCGGTAACTACGCTGGCTCTTGTTTTCACATTCGTTTCTCACGTGTGTAAATTATGTACATTACATTTTTTTCACAAGTTATTTTCATAACTAAATAATTGAATTATAACTTCACTAGATCTATAACTTTATTCAATAATGAATCGAAATAAATTGTGTAAGAAGTTACTGTATTTTCGGTGATTAATTTCTAAAACGTTAAACTAATTCAACAATTAGTATAAAATATTTTTAGAAACTTTTCAAACTCGATGCTGGTCTATTTTAAAATATTGCGTTACTTTCTGTTTATACACACTGGCTATCAGATACTTCATCATGAATCTTATCAACTGTGTTATCATCACCCCATGAAAACGTGAGGCAAACATAGTGCAGTGTAGATAGGGGACATTTGTTCAGATTAATTTTCTTCACGCTTCCTACTTGGGTATCAGTGATATTTGCATGCACAAGCAATCTATCCAACATTTGGCAGGACATAACCACGGTTCATCCTCATTTATTTCCTTGGAACATTTCAAGCTGACAGTTATTAATGCAAATATTTAGCTTCATTTTGATAAAAATCTGAAAAATTATGACGATTATGTGCAATCTCTATCAAAATTCGTATGACCCTTGGCGCGAAATAAAAGTGACCCCTACTAGATGGAGGTCAGAGTTGAATAACTCGTTGTAATAAATGAGCTGACCATTTTTATCGTATGATTGGATGAAAAATTTTACAAATTTAACTGCTATACGTTATTTACACTTTGTGTTTTTAGTGAGTGTCGTGCAAATAAAATTTTCATCATTTATTACATACTTATTAAAGAGTGCTCACATTAAATTAACAAGCAGCATCGAACTGCAACCGACATTTCTCAAGCCTCTATCTCAAGTCATCAACTTTCACATCTCCCAATTATCCCTCGCCCTACTCAAACGACGTCACGTGCAAGTACACATTTGTTGGCAGCGTCAAGGAACGTGTGCAGATAACCTTCAACGACTTCCACCTGGCTCATCCGACACTGAAGGATGATCAGCAGAGCAGTGTTGAGTTAGTAACTGAAACTGAAAACATGTGATGAAAGCTTAAAGAAAATATTTCATCGTAAATTTTTTTTCACTCAAAACATTTATACATTTATACAAAATATTAAAATTATATTTCAATATAGTTTTCAAAAATAAAAATATGTCAGTTAAGTAAACGGATTATAGTTTAAAATCATTCCAATATTTTCATTTTAAAACGTGCATTAAATACTTTTATAGAGTTAATTCGATTTAAACAATTTTAAAGCGTTGAATTTTTATAAACATCGAAAATAAATTTTTCACTCAAAAATTTTGCAAAATTATGTTGTTACGGCAAAAATGTAAAAATAAACTTTTTTTCCCGTGAAAGCAGTTGTGAGGAGGCAGACCTGGTGACTATTCGAACGGTGGTGGACAAGGAGCTGACAGATTTGGAGAGCTACTGTGGCATTCAGAAGCCCTACCAACACATGAGTTCTGATGTGAGCATGGAAGTCATTTTCATCAGTAGGTCACGTGTTCACAATTTGGAGTATAGAGGATTTAACGCGTCCTTCAAATTCGTGACAAGTAGAAACAATCTTTTTTCATACATATACATATATATATATATATATATATATATATATATATATATATATATATATATATATATATATATTCATAAATTTTTACTTATTTGTAAGATTAATTGTTTATAACTCGCTTTTAAATAGGTTGGATAGTTGATTTCGTATTGTTTAGTTTCAAAGATCATGTGTAAAGAAAGAGTTTGTTACAGAGAGTTCTGAAAGCGACAGGCCGCTCAATCATTGTATATAATCTAATTATGGCAGTAGCATTTGAACGCATTCAATCAACATTCATTAAATTCACAATCAGTTACAATCACCTTTGCAACGAAAAGTGTGGTTTTTTTCATTACCCTTCTATTCATCCTGAATGCAGATTTTGGCATTGAAACGGGGGACCAGGAGAGCGATACAAGTTTGTTAAAATTAAAACATCTCTCGCAATTTTCAGTGAAAATATTTGAAAAGATATATTAAAATTTTGCAACATTGACAAATACATAATGACATTCTTACTTGCTATAAATTTTCAGCCTGTCGATTCTATTATCGAAGCGAAAAATCTTCAAGTGGCACTTTTGTATCCCCAAATCATCCTGGCAAGTACCCAAGAAATACGGAATGCCATTACATATTCACCGGCAGAGAAAACGAAAGAGTCTTTATTACTTTTCAGAATATCGACGTTGAAGGAGTCTGGCCCGGGTAGGCGATGTTGCTTCCTTGCATGCTAATTCCATTGCCATTCCGCACTTTATTTATTGATTGACTAAATCAATTCCAATTAATTTTAACTGACAAAAACTTTAACTCAAACAAAATAAGTATTATTTTCCTAATTTTTTAACAAGTTAGTACAATTTTTAAATTAAATGAATAACATTGAAAACGTTTTTTATGTTTGTACTTGAATGTTAAAGTTGCGAAGAAGGAACACAAAGTGACTACGTGGAATTTTCCAACTTCAACGTTCAGGTGGCGGACCGCAAGATGGGTCGACTTTGCGACGTGAAGGACGGCCTGTCCAGGTACGTCCATTCAGACGGCGACTTTTTCAGGGTGACCTTCAAGTCCAACTACATTTACGATGGGACTGGCTTTAAAGCGTTGTACCAGTTCAAAAAGAGTGATGGTCGGTTACACATACATGTATACAAAATGTTATAAATTTTGATACGCTAAAAAACAACTGTTTAAAAAATTTTCAACTAAACAATAGAAACAAATTCGATAACGATGAGCATGTAATTATTATTTCCAGATAGAATCTCAACCGTTAAGAACCGATTATCAACATCTTCCGCATGCTCCTTATTATCAAGAAGCCTCCCAAACTCCATCATCGTCGTCATCGTCAGCAGCATCATCATTTCCTACGCCACGTCATCATCCTTTTCATTGTTAATACAGGCTTGGCATACATTACCAGCATCATTAACCTGCAACACTTTCCTCTCATCGTCCTCTGAAAGACATCTTATGTATAGAACGTTTTCGTTTTTGCTACTCTCATTTAGTTTTCAACAATTTATTTTCATAAATTTTTGTTTTCACACATTCGGTTACTCTCCCGGGAGTGATTACTTTCGTAACGTTCTTACGTTCATATCGAACCATGGCATACAAAATAACGTTTTGTACGGACACTTGAAGTCGTGCGCGAGGACCAAATTGTACCGTTGACTTGATTTTTTAAATTTTAGTTAGAACTTTTATATTCGTTAGTGGAAATATTATTATGTAAATAAACCAGTCATATTTAAAACTAACACTTTGAAAAAAAATTATACCCATTAAATTAAATGAAAGATAAAAAAACGAAAATGATTGTTATTAACGCCTCAAACGCAGCGAGTGATTTTTAAATAAATATCTCTAGCGAGATGTAACGACGCGGTGTTAGCTTTCATTTCTTCTCCAGATGTCAGTCGGATATTATGACGGCGAAAGTGGAGAAGTTGAGAGGGGCGGAATGACGTTGGTGTTGGATTCATTCAACTTCTGCGTTGAGTTACTCACGTTTGAAAGTGGTTTGTTCAGTCTTGATAGCGATGAGAACATTGACTGCGATCTTGAATCGCTTTGGTTTTGTAACTTTCCAGACAAAAAAGCTATTTTGGAGCCTATTTGGGTGGAAGGACTAGATGTACTTTTAGGGCTCATCAACGGTTTTTGCTGGTGGCTATCCTGTTGAGAGGATTGTTGAACTTGTTGTTGTTGCTGCTGTTGATGTGGCGTTTGCTGCAAAATTTGCAGCCGTTGTGGAGATTGTTGAGGCGATAGTTGAGATAATTGTTGACGGGGTTGTAGTAACTGTTGTGGTGTTTGTTGCGGTGAATTTGGAGATGGTTGCTGTGGTGGCTGCTGTTGTGATTGTTGTGGTGGCTGCTGTAGCGGCTGTTGTGATTGTTGTTGCAATGATAATTGTTTTGATGTTTGTTGTTGAGATGTCATCTGCTGTGGAATACACGGCTGCGTTTGCAGGAGTTGCTGGGATGAATATTCAACCGGTTGTTGTGATGTTTTTGGAGGTTGTGAATGGAGTTGCACAGTTGATTTTTCTAGTTGCAAACGTTCAATGGCTGACGACGTTGACTGATCTGAAGCAGCTGGCAGCGGTACAATTTGAAGAATTAATGGTTTCTTCAAAGGCCCGATTGGATTTATATTCGGAATATTAGATGCATTCAGTTCATTTACAATGCTGCTAATACTAGAAGTGCTAGTCGAAGTTATTTTTACATCGTTAGAAACAATTGAAAGCTGATTGCTTTGAGAAAACTTGAGCTGATCATTGACATCATGCGAATTTGTTGTATGATTGTTGAAAGGTGTTCCACTACATGAATTCACAGTTATATTTGTTTTTGTTTCTTTTAAACTTTCCGCATTGCCATCAATATTATCATCACGATTTGGAGTATTTGGTTTCAAAAACATGCTGTTTATTTTTACGTTAAAGTTGTTCCCGGCTACTGGACCATATTTACTTGAAGATGAGTCGCAGAAATACGTTTGCAAAGGTTGATCCGATTCAACTAGTTCATTTTGAAAAGAACTAGAATTTTGAATTTTGGATGTAGTAAGCAAATTTGCTGAACCATGCAGTTTGTCAGCGTTATCGCCAAGCGATTCAGACTGAACAAATTTTTCAAACAAAACAGGTGAACATCCTCTTGAGAATGTTTGTTTTGTTGGCTGAATATGTTCTTCAACTTCTGGACAGGCTGCCGCGGTGTTGGTCCCTCTGCTAACCGTCACTTGTCGTTTCACATTCGCAACATTACGGTAAGCATTCGAAACCTCTGGAGAAGTGATGGTGCTCTTATCGGCCTTTCCAGTCGTCAGTGTGGAAACGCCTTTGTGCATTTTCATCACGGGCATTGTTGCGGTTTCACGATCGATTTTATTTACATTCAATGTCGTCGTAGATTTTTCGACGGTGATTATGGGAGGCATTTCAGTGAAGGCATCTTTTCTAGTTATTTTTGTAATTGTGGGGCAATGTTTTAAAACGACATGATTAACTGGGATGACGTTTTGAACAAGTTCTACCGTAGGCAATGCCTTTTGCCAGGATGAAGTGCTGACTGACTTGACAACTCTAACTTCAGTCTCGTTCGCTTTATCATCGTTTGAAACTGTGGGTTTGACAACCGCAAACGATTTTTTCTGTTTATCTTCTAATGGTTCAGAGAGTATTTCAAGATGATCGCTATAGTTTTCAACGCTAGTTTGAACCGCAACGACACATAACGCGTCTTCATCTTTGAATGAGATGTCGCAAACGCTTCTTCTAACGTTTTCAAAATAATCTTTTTCATTAAAAATTAAATTGTTTTTTGTCATTTTTTTCCCAAACTCTAATTTTGAATTATTCAGTATATCAGAGAGTTGGTCTCTTAAATCTTTTTTTGCAATGAGAAGCTCAATGTTGTTGGTCTCGGCAACCATGCTGGTCAACTTGTACGTGTTTTCTAAACGGTTGAGGTTCTCTTCTATCACATCTTTTTGTGATATTAAATCAATTGTAGTCTGTCCAATAAGCGTTTTCAAATTCGAAATCATTTCCCTCTCTTTTTGCCTGAGAGCAGCTATTGTTTCAGTTGCAGATTCACGAATTTTTTCTTCTGTTTTTTTGAGAGAGCGTTCGCACTGCTCGATGAAATCGATTTGTTGTTTAAGATCAGTGATCTTTGAATAACAATCATCGAGCATGTTGCAGAAGGAATCTTTACTTTTATCGAGAACTTCGGCAATGGTGGAGACTTCGTGATTCTTGTGCTGATGGAAGGCACATAAAATGCAAACACACTCGTCGCAAGGTTCGCAAAAATATTTCACAATTTCATCGGAATGAGTCCTACATTGAACACTTTTTTCTATTTGCATATCAAACAAAGCGTGAAATTGGGTGACCTTGGTTTTTTTGTGAAGATCAGAACAAAACTCACACAAATGTTTGACGCAATCCAAGCATCTCGTCACTGCTACACGTTGCTTGCCTGATTCATCTGTTTCACGGCATATTTCGCAGAATATTTCTTCTTTTTTTTCATTTGATGGCATTCTTTTTTTTATCACGTTGCTTAAATTTTCCACCAAAAAATTTTCAGGGAATCTTCCGATACCTCCAGTTGGCAGCTCAGATTTTTGTCGACAGATAGGACATGAAATGGCTCTGTTGTACAAGAGGAATCTGTACGGTCGCTCCTGCTCTTCCATTTCGTAATAATTTTCAAGGCACTCGCAACAAAACGTGTGCAAGCATGTCAACACTTTCGGATGTTTGTAGAGTTCCGAGCACAGTGGACAAACTAAAAACTGGCCGTAAACTTCATCAACAAAACTGGACGCGGTTGTCATGTCTTCTTTTTATGAGCTTCATAAAAAAATAAATAAAATTGAATAAAATTAATGAAAATAATACCAAAAGTGAGTAAGAGAGATGTGTTCACAAACCTGGAAAAATACGTAACACAAACACAAATAGGAATAAATAATTTTCCAGATCCTATCGAAATAGTTTTATTACAAAGATGAATAATACGAAAAGAAGCAATCTATACCAAAACACGAACTTTTGTTTCACTATATGTTAAGAGTGCTTATTGCTGCTTTTTAAACCTAATAATCATACCCACCAAATATGTACAAATATAAGTATGTATTATTCCACAATTTGTATGCTTAAAACAATAATCATATAAATGCATAGTTATATATATATATATATATATATATATATATATATATATATATATATATATATATATATATATACGTGTACATAAATGCTTCGCAATTATAAAAAGCATTTGAACACTAAAATATAACAAACATAAACGTATATTTGTATACATATGTATATTCAAACACACACACACATACATACACACACACACACAATCATCAATACAATCATACACGAATACACGAATATAAGAACCCTACGATAGCAAAACACAATCTTCTTTCTGTGCAACTCAGAGCATATATTTTGCTTGCACGGTTCTTTGACTACGAACTAATTAGATGAATAACTATGTTGGTTGCTCATAGTTGCATATGTAATGTACTTCGTCAATATGTATGTGTTGCTGATATATACTAATATATAATAATGTACTATACATAAAGTCCTGTACATAAACAATGATATATATGTGTGTTTGTGTGTATGGTGTGTATCTATGTGTGTGTGTGGTGCGTGTGTATGTATGTATGCATGTATGTATGTATGTATGTATGTATGTATGTATGTATGCGTAACTTCGTAGTTAAGAAAACGTGATTCACAGGATTCTATGACGAAGATGCCAACTGTTCAATATCAGACCCACGGTTAAGAGAAATTAATGAGGGTGATTCGAGCACTACTACCTTAAATCTGTTTATTAACAAAATAAAATTTCAGACAAATCAATGCTTTTTTATTTTCCTATCAGATTTCATTTATAACAGTATTCTGATTATGCTAATATTACTAAATTCATTTTTATGGCATCCTCTCTAGAAATACACCAAACAGCTGCACGCGTTGGATGAAAATTATGATGCTGAACTGAACATTCAACCGGCGTAGAGATGAATTGGCAAGAGCGAAAAAGTGGTTCACAGTAGTATTTTATTATTTTTTTCTGCTTAGAAAACACGCTCTTTGTTGATTTATGACGTAATTATGATGATAACAACTGTTTGAGTTTTTGTTATGATAATAATAAACTCTGTAAAACCATTTTGAAATTAATTAAGCGGTGAAAAAGTATATGATGACATTTTTATTAACTTCAATTCTGGAATAATATGCCAGTTGTTTTAAATATCAGAAAAAATTTAATTTGTGAAACAAAAGCAATTAAAATTGTCCCCTTGGCTTATTCATAATGAATGAATGAATAAACGGATGAACGAGCGAACGACGAACGAACGAGCGAACAAATGAATGAATGGAAAATGGTTAGGCGTCAACATTTGGAAAATTCTGACGTGAGTAAATGAAAAATTTTCTTTATTTGATGCCACTTCATTTCCAGAAATATTTCTCGTCCTTCACACTTTTTCCAAGTTGTTTAGATGCGATGCAAGTTGCTCAGTGTTTCTATTTCAAAGAGTTTATTAATTGGTTTTATTTTATTTCAAACAACATTGTAAATTACGTATTAAATAAATAATTTTGAAACATTTAACAATCACACAATTTCTTTGATTTATTTCAAATATTCAAAATTCGGAAAATATTTAATGAAACTATTCGTAGAATAAAACGAAGAAATTTTTTCTTTGAAATTTATACTAATTTTCAAATAATTTTTCAGAATGATGTAACTAAGTTTATCAAAATATAGAAATAATAATTCTCCGCGGAGATTATTAGAGGCATATTTTTAAACACCATAGATTAGCCTCTTCAGCTTCCTATAAACATGCAATAATTATGTTTTTTCTCAAACTTGTTTGCTTCCAAGCCAATAAAAACGTTAAAATCAAAGCAGAATCTCGTTTGAAAATTTCTTTCAACAGTATTTCACAACCTGACTGCTTGTTGTGCACCTGATATTATTGCATTCGTGAACATGTTGGAGAAGTTAGAGAATGAGAGGAACCTATGAAATAATATTAAACCCATGTCCACTTTGAAAATATTATTTCAGTTTAATTTCTCGCTTTATTATGTTTTAAGTATTTATATGAAAATAATTGATAACGCTATAATAATAATTATTAATATAATTATAATATTATGATGAGTAGATAATACTGGATGTCCAAAAATGTGTATCGCTGCTGTCGAGTTCTACCAACATGATATCAATTATGAAAACTGTTGCAAGGGAACAAATGAATACAAAAATAAAAGACGCTCACTTAGTACACCATCTATCTATATATAATAGATAGATACCGACATTTTAGTTTAAGTTCAATCTATCATGGTTATGTCCCGCGTCCCGTTTCGGGACGCGGGACATTAGGGGCGAAATTCGGGACTGTCCCGCCAAATTCGGAACGGTTAGCAACTATGAATGAATGAGTGAGTGGGTGAGTTAATGAATGAGTGAATGAGTTTATGAGATGTCTTCACAATATATTGCCAACTTTTGTTCAGAAACGTCATGTATTCATCTAACCATCCATCAATCATTTGTCAAACCATTATTCATTCATTCATTCATTCATCTATCCATTCATTCATTCGTTCGTTCGTTCGTTCGTTCATTCATTCATTCATTCATCAGCCTTCCATCATCCATCTATACCAAAAGTATTTTTATTCAAGGTTGCATTTGTTTACACAAGTTCAAAAAACATTTTTAGTGAATTTATTTTTTTTTTATAAGAAAATTATTAATTTATTTTTCCATATTCCAAACTTTTCCGTGTTATCATATCGCCAGCATTGACGTCAATATTGCTGTTTCTGTTAAAAATATAAATATAATTTTTATTCTTATTTTTATTACTGTTTATTATTATTTCTGAAAATGTAAACCAGCTAGACTCAAAATACTCAAAAGTGTTGTCTTAATGATTGGAAGTTCAGATTGGCATCGGACTGATGTAAACATGTAAACAGAAGTACATTCACATTTGTTTTGTTCGCAATTATTCCATTTTTTCTTCACAAAACATCGTTGTTGGTCGTTACCATGTATTTATAACTTCTCCATCAAAATGTGATGACTGCAGTTATGTAATTTAAATCTATTCATTGTATTTCTTATCTCAGCACATACAATCTTGTTTGCTAACACGTTGGAAAAGTACGGGAAAATATATTGCATGCTTCAAGCCTTTAACTATGTAAACATTTCATTTATGTTGATAAATCTGATGATAGAACACTTCATATCTCATTAACTTTACATTCACCAAATTATCCTCAAGAATTTTCATCTCAACGAATTTTGTGTAGGTTCCTTAAAAATGAAATAAAAGGTTGTTTATCATTTTTAAAACAGATAAAGAATTCGTAGCCAAAAGTTTTTTCTTGGATGGGAAGGTACTTGCAAGTTTTGAAACTGTTGACGAGTTTCTCTTTTATGGCTAAATCTAACATTTTCGTTACGAATTTGTGGTCTAAAAACCAAACACAAATAACAAATTTTCAAAATATCTACAAAACTATCACAAAATTATTTTTTTGGGAAGCTGCAAGCCTCAAAAGAGTATTTGGGGTCACTTCTGAATGTGTATACTTTAAATATATTAACGTAATGCAGAACATACATAGATTGATGTATGTGTTGTGTGTAAGTACACATGTGTATGCACATTGTATAGAGAAGTCAGAAAGATTGTAGTAGCCTACCCATGAAATATAACTAAACATTTTGCATATGTTTTCGTAAACTGGCTCCATGTTTATATATATTTATAGAAATTTACATAATGTTTTTGTGCTATTATTGTCATGTCTGAACTCTTTTTCTACTACTTTTCCTATTAACGTTTAATTTTTACATGTTGTTGTATCAGTTACTTTTGTAAAATATTTTTGTGACATTTTGCATATGTCATTACATCATGGTTTGGTTGATATATATCAAATTAATAATGAAAATGTGTTGATAAGCTTAAAAATAAACTTAACAAAATAAATTTAACATTAAAAAATTCCAGAAAAGCCAATAACTTCCTAAGGGCAAAAAAACAAACAAACGAACGTAAAAGAGATAAAAAGGAAAGAAAACACAAGCAAGCAAACGCACTTGTTATCTCGTGAACTGGAAAACAAAATGAAATAGCAGTCGAAAAAACACCATATCAAGGGAATTACGCAATCTTATTTCAGCATGCATTCATTGGAGTGCACGTTCGTTCACGTTCCAATGTTGCTCGTTATCGTACGTACGTTGTGTGATGTTTTATTTCAATATTTTTGTTCTTATCCTACATGTTTCGACGAACGTTTCAGCACTCTTGGTAAAATTGAAATAAAAATAATTCGAAAGTTATAAAATAATATAATCTTAATTTGACTGTTTTGGTAATAAACTTAAGTAACCTTTAAAGTATTTGATTAGCATTTGTTCAAGTAAAATAAAATAAATTTCATTATAATATATAAATACCAGGTTTCGTGTCTTAAAAATTATATTTCGTTCGATAGTCTTACATAAATGACAATTTCTAAACACCTAGGGGAATGAAAAAAATTATCTTATTTTTTCGATTTTCACAGTTGCTAAAAAATACCTTGGCGGATGTTAACGAATAATATATTAATTTGTTAGTTCACTGGCTAAAGTTGATTAACTGAAATATATGAATTTACAATAATAGTAAATTCATATATTATTTTAATACCGTTTGCTTTCGTTCAGTTAGAATTTGATTATGGTTAGATTAGTGATTAGTCACATACGTTAGTCAGAAACATCCTAGAGAAGAGACAGTCACAAACATCCTAGAGACCCACTCTTATTTAATTATTTTATGATTGAACAAATTTTTTGTAAGTTATTATTGAAATAATATTTTAAAATATAAACTAACTTATATTTATTTTCTATCACGTAAAATTTTTTTATCGTAAAAGTCAATAATTCAATTTAAAATTTGATTAATAAAACAATTATAACTTGTAAACTAAATAACACGATAGCGTTATGTGACTCCGTGGCGCAACGGTAGCGCGTCTGACTCCAGATCAGAAGGTTGCGTGTTCAAATCACGTCGGGGTCAAACTTTTACAATTTTTTAAATTTATTAATTAATTTTACTTCAATTTTATTTACACTTTTATTAGTTTTCGAGTAACTGTAGAACTTTGTGGCAATGTGTCAAAAACTTTTTTGTTTTATTCTTCCTATCCAATACATTCGTTCAGAGGATTTCAATGTTCGTTAAATCCATTTAACCACATGCTTCATGTTCAGCAAATTAATGCGAATAATGTAATTACGCTTTATTTAACGCAAGATTTGATCTTACGTGTTTCTATGTATGAACTTTTTTGAAATCTGTCAGATTACAATAATTTATTAAATTTTTGCTTGTCACCAGAAACATTCTATGCTATGTTAATATTGTTTCCATGAAAACAACTGGCAAATAAAAAGACTTTATTTATCAATATGTTCACAACAAAGTAAATGTGCATTAGTAAAATATATTAGTTTCGGCTCACGCACACACATTCAAGCACACTGACATTATGCAAGAAGATGAAAACGAAATTGAACACATCTGAATGCATGTTCATCGATGAAGTCCTCCTGATGCATGGATGACATCCACGCACATCTTTAATTACAAGTGTGCATGTTCTGTACGTTATAAGTCGACTGTGCAACAGAGAAGATACATTCCGTACATACAACCGCACATACAACCGCACATACAACCGTACATACAACCGCACATACAAACACCAACAAATGAAGAGCCACTAACAATATCATTTGTACACACACAGAGGCAAATAGAAAACACTCCTGTACGTACAGTAGAGTACACATCCGTGACTGACCTTTAATAAGAATACAGCACTACAATATTTTCTTCATCATGTCCATGTTCTTTTCACAAAATAGTGCACATATTTGTGTATATCAAGTGTACAAAAGAGTGCATACAGAATTTGTGCCTATATGCATGTGCACGCAACCAATGCACGTTCAACCGCTCATATCCAATGACATTCAGTGAGCAGAGTTAAACAACAAACATCAAGTACGTAGGTAAATCATCAATAAATTCATGAATTAGCCAAATTATTACGTTCACAAATAGCACTAGCTTTATTGAATATATTCAACATTCAACATGCATGTACCTAATAATATAATTCAGTTAAAAATATATCCGTCTTATTTTTCTTACCATTTTTCACTCCAAATATTATGTGTCTGAAAATAATCGAATGCTGCCGGGAGTCACGTATCACAAACAAAAAACGTTCCTTAATTCATCTTCTTAATACTTTCATAATTCGATTGTCCCATTTATTTATTCATTCAAATTTATACTAATGCATCTGATTTTAATTAACATCGTAATAAACTATTAACTGGCGTTTCATGCAAATAGTTGATTTTTGTGGCTTGCCTGAAAAACAATTATATCGATTATTTTATGATAGAAAGACGTCACTACAGATTTGTATGTGTACATACGTAATGTTTGCTTGCGAATGTACGTGATGAGTGCTTGTGTCTGCACGTGATGTTTGTCTGTCCGCGTGTGTATACGAAAGATGCGTCTCTGTGTGTGTGTGTGTGTGTATGTCAGCATTGCACGTGCACAAACCCATCGCGCAGACATACAGTCATACAGGCCAAACTGCATTTATAACATACGCAACGTGCCTATGAATACTGTGTCCGGCATTGATCATGTGCTGATATGGGCGGAGTTGAAATTGTCACGTGACGTAAACAAATAATTTTCAAAAATAATTGTTTGTAGCGCTTGATTGGTTTTGCCTGTCATGTCTGCCTTTTCATATAATTTAGAAAACACTTCGTGGAGATGGAAATGTCCGAGGTTCAAATTTCGAACATTTCTAAGCAGCCATGACCAGTCCAACTGTCAACCACGTTCCCAATCATCGTTGTAATGATGTAAGGGTAACTCCACTCATAATCTCCTTTGTTATTAATTGTTGCACCTTCTGATTGACAGCCTTCCTTAATTAAAAAACTTCTCATTGAAAGATTTCAAATTGTGGTTGTTTCCTTCCACGTTGCTGCTCATTACTTCGACGCACATTCTTCAACCTCTCCTCAGTGCGAAGTTAATATGAAATATTCTTTCGTGCTGATAAAGCCTGTGCATTGCCCGTATTAAATTTCATGTCAACTGCGTTTCGTTGAAAACTTCTCGTGTGTCTGTTCAGTAATATCCAGTTTGTTCAATTTGTTCAAATGGGATTCAACTCGCATCATGAGGGTTTAATATTTTATATTCCAGGCAATCAGCCAGGGGAGCCATAATGAGTTTTTTAATGAGATTCATAGGACGGTCGATCAGCGTTTGAATTCGTGATGAAATTAGAGTTCTTGATATTAGCTATTTTGACAATCTATTGAGAAACTATTGTAGTAAAATATGAGATGAAGTTGTTGTAGTTGTGACTGAACTTGCAGAGCAAGCAGCGGCGTTGTTAGCTGCAGTGGCTGTTATATCAAGTGTCCCGGTCAATAGAGAGCTGTAAGTAATTTCGTCAGTTGTTGTCGATTGTAATGTGAGCTGATGTGGTGAGACTGTCGACTGATTTGAACAAATTTTTGCATGAAAGACGTTAGATGTTGGCAACATAGCTGCAGTTTTTGAGTCTGATATTGATTGACAAGTTGTTGATGAACATGAGTTGTTTTTTGATATTGCAGTAATTGATGTTGGTGGTGTCAAGTTTGTGAAGAGTACGACTGTTGGCTGAGCCTTGATTGTTGCAATTTTTGTTGCCGCGGATGTTGAAACGTTGTATGGTGTCGTTGAGGATTCTGTCAACAATGTTGAAGACGGTATTGCTGCAACTGATGTTGTGGACAGAATTGATTGCGTGGATGGTTGTGGTGTTGAAGACCGCGTGAAGGATATCTCTGACGTCATTATAAAAGTCGGCATTGATGTCTGTGCGGCTATAATGGTGACGTCATTCAATGTCCTATCTGCCTTTCCATAACTCACAACTGCATCGCTCTCCCATTGATAAGTTTTTCCGTTTCCTATGCTGCTGTTATTGTTAGTGTTGTTGATGTTGATGTCGGAGTTGTTGATGTTGTTGTTATTGATGCTATCGGTGTTGTTGGTAGTACTGTTGTTATCGTTGGCTGCGATGTAATTTTTATTATTGGTGATATTGTGGTTGTTTTGGCCTGAATTCGTGTTTGTACTGATATTTTCATAGCCAGTTAAAATATCATTGTTGCAGTTGTATAATTTGTTGTCGTCGTTGTAGCTTTTTGTGTTGAGATTAATTTTAGAAATTTCGTGATTGTTGCTGCCTGTTTCGTTGTTTGTAAGTTTGTTTTTATTATTAATACACATATTTTTATAATGACTATTGCTGCCTTCAAAACTGCAAGTGTTGTAGTTGTTGGAGTTATTACTGTTGAAGTTGTTGTTGTTGATGATGGATTCGTTGTTGAGGTGGTTGCTGGTTCTGCTGCACTCTTCAAAACTATCGATTGTGTTGTTGTTGTTGTTGAGAACGTTTATGTTGATGTTGTTGTATCTGTCGACAATTTTCAAATTATTTTCTTCGTTTAGGCTACTGTTACAGCATTTATTGTGATTGAATTCATTGAGATTGCTGTTGTTTGATATGCTGCTTTCGTTGCTTATTGAATTTTTTGTTTGAGTTGTTCGAGCATCAACAATGTCAACAGTGCTAATTTTTGTGTTTGCTTCTGGTTGCATGTGTTGTGGCTGGTGCTGATATTGCTCTTTTAAAGTTAAACTTTTTGATTCATTTTGTTTTGTTGCATCAACACCGACACCTTTAATTGCACGAATCTCTTGTGAAAGTGAAGAACATGAAGATGATTTTGAATGAACGTGACTTTCGTGACTTTTTAGTAGGTTGCTTTTATTTGATTCTGTTTGCAATTGGAGATGCTGGCAAGAAGAAGTTTGATTTGAACATACGCAGTTCATTAAGTGATGTCTAGTATGTTGACGGTGAATATTTTCAGCAAGATTTAAATTGATTTCAAGTTCTTGAGCGTCTTTTTGATAGTGAGGTTGACATTGCAGTTGTTGACGTGTTTGGGAACAACTGTTTGGAGGGTTTGTTTCAAAGTGTGAAAGTTGTGTTTGTTGATATTGAGGCTGATGGGTCTTTTTTTTTTGTTCGGATAGATGATGTGGTTGGTGATTTGTTAGTTGAATTTTTGAAGTTCGTTTGCTATCAAGTTCTTCATCATTTGAGTGGTATAAATTTCGATCTGACTGATCAAACGATGAATCATCTTTTTCAACTGTGTCATTGTTCTTTACAGAGCTGCAAGATTTATTTATTTGTACATTTTTTATTTCATTCTGTTTTTCTTGAGAAGACAAAGTTTTCATTTCAATTACTGTAATTTTTTCTGAAGATGTCGTTGTTACAGTTGGCATTGAAGGAAAACTATCACACGTATTCGTTTCGGCAAAATTTTTCAAAATATCGTCAGATTCGTTAAAATTTGCTTCTTCGTCTGAATCGCATTTCTGCGTTGAATACACATTTTGCTCCCGTTCAAATTCGGTCGCTTCTCAAAATACGTCAAAATTCGATCTTTAATTTTTTCGAGACCTACACAAACGAGGAAGAGAAGTAACAACCCGCTGAGAGTGGCGGCCGTGTACCAACCGAGCCAGGGATCGTACGGCAGGGGATCCTTCGATGAGACGAAGTTGTTGCTGCTCGATTGGTAGGCGTCTTCAACGTCTTCTTGCGCAATTGAACTGTATCTAATCAGCAAATTCTTGAAATGTGTGGTCGGAGATATAAAAGACGACGAGGACGAAGTGGTTGCTGTTGTTTCCATGTTGGTGGATGGAAACGATGTTACCATTTGATCGTCCATTCTGGATCGTTTATGATGAATTTAAATAAATTCTATATCGAAATAAATTTTTTTCTTTTATTATTGCCATATTTTAGGTAAATAATTTCTGAATAATTTTTCTTAGTCGCAATTGAACAGCATGCATTTGTGCCGTGCCTTCATACAGATGTACATGTGCCAGTTTGTTGTTTTTGCATTTGTTTTCTTCTCTCTTCTTAAGTTTCAATAATTTTGTTCAACTTTTTCAAGTTTCTTGAGTTTCTGTGAAATATAATTATAAACGCTTAACAATGTAAATTTTTAACTATGTTTAAATAATATAGAATAAAATAATGGTTATTGGAATTTAATTTTCGTTGTCTTTGAAAAAAAAAGTTGATTGAATTATTAATCATTGTGACAGATACTGATTTAGACTTTAATTATTAAAATAAGCACGTGGTATTCTACAATAAATTAATTGGTTATAGATAAGGACAACAACTGCATACAGTTTTTCTACATCTGGGTTGGGCAAACTACGGCACGCGGGCCACATGCGGGGCCCACGAAGCTATTTTATGCGGCCGCGAGGTCTTGTTCGTCAAATTAAAAATCGGCAGCTAAACATTATGATCAAAATAGGAGAAAAAAGAGCCACAAATGCTAAAATATTCTTCCCTGGGTCAAAAAAGTTTGCCATTAAAGTACATATGCGGCTCTTCATAGGTAAACTAGTTCTCAATGATACGATACGATACTTTTTATTTGCTTCTAAAAATTTAACAAAAAAAGAATAGAAAACAGGATGACTATGATCAAGTTATCATGTAACTCATTTAGCATAGCCATGCCATAGCCATCTAGCAATGCGGCCCTCTCAGCAAAAATGTTTGCCTACCCCTGTTCTACATAAATAGTTTTTGTTCATTTTCTCTACTACTTTGTTAATAACAATCTGTTAATCAATTCCGAGGAACCTTTTAATTTTGATTTTTGTGCATTCATAATTTGCATTAATACCAGGAATAAAGTGACGGAAGCATGTTTTCACATGAGTGCCTTCAAGTTGTCCTTTTAATTATCAACTAATTTTTTTTAGTAATTGTTTGCTATTGCCGCTCAAATTAAATATTTTTGATTTGAAACAGTTTGTCAACAATTTTTTATTATAAATTTTTTTCTAAGAAGGCGTTCCACAAAAAGTCTTTATAATTTGTTGTGAAGAACTTCATTTGTCACTAAAATTTTTAGCTAACTTCGATATATAAAAATATTTTTTTTTATTGCCCTGGTTTTATATAAAAAAAACAAAAGTTAAAATGTTTTTGTAGTGTAAAAACTGAGAATTTCCAGTACTAATTTTTATACAGATGTTTTTTAATTTACCACAACCCTGGCTACATTTTTATTGGAGGTTTTCAGTTCCAAAGTCCTTTCTTGGCTTCACTCCTAAACGCAATAGCGACTATTATATTTGTAACTGCGACTGTTAATGATCATTTATTTTGTAAAAGCTTATTATTTAAGTTTGCTTTTTGATTACCATTAGCGTTGGGCTATGAGCAGTTACTTGTTTTGAAATGAACCAAAACGAAATGCCATTTGCTTTGCATAAAATCAATAAATATTAAGCCATTCCTCGTGTATGACCACCGAAACGCTTAGGTGTCGGTGTGGTGTGTGGTTTGTACGTCACATGTGTGGTGAATACGAGTTGTATTGTGTTTGCATGTGCGTCTGTATGTGCCTGCGTATCGGTAATGGAAATATACAATGTTTCAAAATTAAAAAAAAATTTTCTCAACGAGAAGTTAAAATAAAAGAAATCATTGTAGACCGCATTAAATTATCTTTAAGTGGCTTACATGTTGAAATTATTAACACATTGGCAATACCATTGTAGGAATAGTTAACGTTAAATGTTGCAACAATTTTTTTGGAAAAACCCGGCTTTCAAATTTAAAAATCCACAATTCAAGAGAAACAGTATTCAGTCAACGACATTAAAATAATTTTCAAATATAGCGATGTGGTATGTATTTTATCTCTTTTTGCAATTTATTCATTTAGCGTGAGATTTTTTCAGTTCAGAAAAAATTCTACAACTCTAGACAGATAGACACGTGGAGATGGGCGAATGAAAGAAACGATGTATGAAGCAGGCTGGCATGCGTTTAAAAGCAACTGCTCGCTATTATATTTCTTTCTAAATTGAAATTCGCGAGAATCTGAATGTTTCGAAGCGTATGCAGGACGTGAGTGATCGAAGCAACAAATGATGGCTGCGTTATGTTCCTTTTCGTCAGAATATTTCCACAGGAATGTAGGAAAAATAAAATTATACATTCGAATTATTTTCCAAGTTGCAACATTTTTATATCAAATGAACAAAAAATAAATACATTTGTTCGTACAAACTTACAAATTTGAAACATTTTTGAAAAATATAAAAAAATTTCAGCCGGGCAAATTCAAAACAAAAATATGTTATAAAAGTAATTTGTAATATAAATATTTTTGAAAATTTAAAATAGAAAAACCGTCATGGTGTATTTTCCTCAAATTAATTATTAATAACATCATCCTACCAACGGAAACTCTAAAATAAAAAAAATAAATGTGTGTAACCGATTTTGAAATTAAGCTTTTTGCAAAAATATTCAAATTTGCAAATAAATAGACAATTTATTTACTCATTTAAAAATCATCCATCATCGTTAAGTGCAGATGTAACAGAAAATATTTGAAATATGCAGGCTTATAAACAAGACCCAGCATCCAGGTGATAAGCTATCAAGTTCGTGCTCAACATTATTCATTACGATGCAGTTGGTAGGGAAGGTAAGAGACCAAAGAAGAGAACGTTGGAACGTATAGAACAAAATACAAGAACAGGAAAACAGCTCTCAAATCAATTAAGATAGCACCGTTGAACGATTTACAACATGAAGTCTGTCTGCGTAGAAACAACGTGACCTTTAGAAATTTAATCTTAAATATTTTAAAATTGCCCGAGTCTGTTATTCTCTTGCATGATAAAAATTGTCCTTGTGTAGGAGTTTGTGTGCGGCACGTGGTGATTAATGAGCTACATGCAACAAGCAACCTGCAACAAACATTAGGCAATATGTAAGATGCTGCATGCAACATGCAACCTGCAACAAACAATAGGCAATATGTAAGATGCTGCATGCAACATGAAATATACAACATGTAATATAATAAGCAACATGCAACCTGCAATATGTAAACTAATGGCATGGAACATGTGTGCAGATGGTTGCAATGAATTATATGCAAAGACTGCTCCAAGCAATCGCATTTAATCAGGAGAAAAATGATTTTTTGATAGAGGCCAAAATTAGATTGTGGACAATTTATGTTGCATTTCAAAACTTTTTCATTAAAAAATGTTATATCACGCAGTGAATGTTAGACAATGACGTTTATAAAGAGAACGAATCATAGAGCTAAGTAATTTTTAAGCTGATAATTTTCTACGTAATTTCCATTATTATGTGCTTGAACATTGGATACACTCCTATCTATAAACAACACTCGACCAGGATGCACTTTTCAACGTACAACAAACGTGAGCTTCATCTTGAACATTCAACGAATACAGCCACACAAACACACACAGGAACATCGTACATAAAAATTCCTACGTACCTACAATCAGTTCATACACACATTGGGTTTTTGGACAGCTAACAAAAATATAAATTTTTGAATTACGATTTCAATAAAAAGTTTCTGAATTATCATTAAACAAGATCTCTAAGTATGTGTTATTCATAGCTTAAGTTTCTCGAACCATCTGTTACCGATAACTGTGTGCATTGCTCTTGCCTTGCTGAGCTTGCATATTGCTTTTTCTTTATGTGTACTTGACTTCTTTTAATGACATATGTAAGTTGGCATGCATGTTGGTACGCATTGGTGCACGCATTAATTTGAGTATGTCACCAAAGGAAAAAAGCGAAGCAATGTAAGTAAGTTACCGTCATGTGAACTGACCTGATGTGATTCGATTACATGGACTTATATGATTTAGATAGGCTTGCAGCTTCTAATGACAAGCACTAACAGAAGAAATGCATGATTCACCTGCTTACACGTGTCTGTATTTCGTGTCTTCTACTTTGTGTGTTGTGTGTGTGTGCGTGTTGTGTGTGTGTGCGTGTGTGTGTGTGTGTGTGTGTGTGAGTGAGTGAATGTGAGTGTGTAGATCATGCTTGTTATCCATTGAAATGTTTCGATGTGTTAATGTTATGTGTTGAAATGCTATTAGTTTGAATGGGACTTTTAAATGTATTGGCTGAATGTAACGTGACTTGGTATCACGTGTGAATGTTCGCTCAAGCTATGTTGGATCAGATATGCTGGTGTGATGTGTTGATGTGTTGATGTCTTCAATGTTAATGCTAACTCATCCTTAGTGGTACCATTTAATACGGTGTGATATTTGTGATTGGTTGTATAATGTAAAACTAATTGTCAACGTTAACAATACGTTTCATATGATTTAAATTTGTTGCAATTGCAAAATCACTTTTTAAACTATTTAATTCATACAATAATTGATAAACATTTTACTGTAAACTGAACACCTGAATTTTTTTGCATAAGTTATACAGAAAATACGATGATTATTTCATTACTTTTTAACGAGGGACATTTGACTAAAGTTGACTTTTTTCCGTTGGACAGTAAAATTTGTTCTGTTGGCTTGAAAGTGTGATGTTTACAACTTGGCGAGTTTTGCTTCAGAACTTTTCATTGCATTCTCAGAAATGTTTTTTGGTGTCTTCAACTGAAAATAATTCATTCATAGAATCACACAACAAAGTTATAAACCAGATCCTATGTCTAATTGTCTAAAATTTGTTTTGAAGTTTAAATATTTCACGACCAACTTTTAGTTCTAAAGTTTACCTAGTTAGAAAAGTTTTAAACCTATTTGTAAACTTCAATCTGTTGAAAAAATATGCGTAAAATTTGAGAAATAATTGCATTTTATGATTTATTTTTAC